CCCAGCACCCGCCGCGCTGCCGGCAGGGTGCGGCCCCGGCCCACGGAGAGCGCTACCGCCACCGGAGAGTGTCACCAGCGTTGTCACCCACTGCCTGCCCGTCCCTGCCTGCCCTGCGCTGGGTTTGCTGACCCCGGAGAGCATCTGGGAGTGGAATCCTCTGAGCTCGGTGTCCCCTTGAGTTTGGTGTCCCCATGAGCTCGGTGTCCCCACAAGCTTGGTGTCTCCTTGAGCTCAGTGTCCCCTTGAGCTTGGTGTCCCTGCAAGCTCAGTGTCCCTGTGTCCTTGGTGTCCCTACAAACTCAGCATCCCCACAAGCTCAACGTCCCTATGCTCATCCCTGTCTCCATCCCTGTGCGCTCGGTGTCCCCAAGCCACCAGCGTCCCTGTGTTCTCGTTGTCCCCCCCCTGCTCGGTGTCCCCGTGTGGCGTCCCTGTGGCTCTTGCACGCTTGGTGACCCCATGCTCTTGGTGACCCCATGCTCTTGGTGACCCCATGCTCTTGGTGACCCCATGCTCTTGGTGTCCCCGTGCTCTCAGCACCCCTGTGTCCCCAGGGACACCATGCTCTTCCCTCTGCGCTCAGCGTCCCCGTACCCTCAGTGTCCCCTGCGTCCCCAAGCCCCTCGGGCCGTGCCACCGCAGCCCTGCCTGTGCCGGGCTGGGCTCTGGCCACCGCACTGTGACGGTGGGTGGTGGCACCCACCCCCTCCCCACTAATTTATACGTTAATATTTGTGTGGTTATGCTATTTATTGAATATCGGGGTTAATTTAATACGTCCCTGCAGTGGGAAGAAATATTTAAGGACATGTTTTTAATATATAAATATCTATTTTTATGATAACTTTTTTTTTTTTTTTGGTATCGTGTTAAACTATGGATGTCACGAGGTTTTATTTATGAATGTCAATATTTTTTTGGTACTGTGAGAAGGGAGGTGTCCACCACGGGCTCGTGGCACCCCCATATTTTTGTATAACGGCAGAAGGAAATAAAGTGTCGACCTCGGCCCGTGGGCCGCTGCGCGCTGGTGTCCCCGTGTCCCTGTGTCCCCGTGTCCCCATGTCCCGCTGTCTGTGGGCAGAGAGGGGCTGTATTCCGGTGGCCGGGCTGTGCCCGTTGTCCTCACCAGGGCACGTGGCACAGCGTGGGATGGCAGCAGGGGGGGGGATGGTGCCACATGGTGTGGCACGGCACGGGATGCAGCAGCGCGTGGTGTGGCACGGGGCACGGTGTGGGATGTGGCACAGCACAGTGGGACATGGCACACAGTGGGATGTGGCACATGGCACGGTACGGACCACGGCACATGGCACTGCACGGTGTGGCACATGGCACAGTGTGGCACCCGGCGTGTGACGTGGCACCCCATGGCATGGGCTGGCACTGGCCGGGTATGTGCCATGCCACGGTGTGGCATGACACCGCATGGCACCGTGTGCCGCAACACCGCATGGCACCGTATGCCACATGCTGCACAGCCACCAGCACGGCCGGGCCATCACCGCAGCCAAGCCACAGCCACCATGTCCCCACCGCCTGGCTGGGG